GTTGTCATATTTGTACCAATAATTTACTAACTTTAATTTAAGAGCTTTTTACCAATAATAATATGAAGATTTTTTAAAAAAGATCCATGTATTTTATTTCAATGCATTTAATTATAAAGCCATGACTCTTTATTACGCATTTATATTATAATTAAATAATTAATTATATAGACATTATTATTTATCACTTAAAAGAAAGAAAGAAAGATAAATATTGTTTGCCTAATGTCTTAAATTAATATTGATAAATAATTTAAGTTTTGTTAATAATAAGTATTCGGAATAAGCGATACAGCATATTTTAAAACTTTTTCTAAAAGATTATACTATAAGGATTATAATACTTGTACAAGAAATTATATAATGTCAGTTGATAATATTTTTGCTATTCTAGATTTAATAATTTCGTTTTTTAATAATTTACCTGACTGTTGATGACGATTAATCATTGATGTTGAATAGACTCTTATATTTTTATACCGAATGTCCTATTTCAATACATCTGTCAGCATATAATTTATGTCACTATTAATTTATCTATAAAATTATATATTTTAATTTATTCGAATTTTCACCTTCGTTACTCGTTTTCGTTTTGTTTATTTTGTTATTGACATTTAATTAATATAATTAGCGTAATTTATTTAATCAATTAATTCAAAATTTTTATCAACTAATTAAAAAATTTAATACTAACGTGTGTAGTATATATTTTTCTTTACGGTAATTTCTTTTAGATAAAATCATTTATTTTTAATATATATATATATAATAATTTCAATTATGGTTATATATTTATTTAAAGTCTAATTTAAGGCAACACGAATTGTGATATAATGTTGTCCATTACTATTTTCGCAATAATTTCACAATTTTTAAAAGACGTTTTTAATAAATAGATAATATATATGTTATAAATAATACTATAGACAACAAAATTAGATTTCTTAAAAATATTTTCATGTCTTTAAGTGACTCTTTTATTAAATTTATTTTTTAACACTACACGTATTAAACCTTATAGGGCAAAATTTAAGAATTTTTTAACTCCAAATTAATATATATATATTTTTAAATATTAATTTCCATACTTATTTCATTACGAATTTAAAAAAAAAAAAAAAAAAACATTTTTAAAATATATACGGTTAGTTAATACAATTATGGAGAGTTTGAAATCTTTTTAAAATAATACAAAATTTTTAAATTAATACGTTAGTTTCATTTTTATTCACGTACTCGTAATTCAATCAAAAAATATATTTATGTATCAAATAATATTAATATTTACATAGTGTTAAAATCTTTAAAAAAAATTCAATTGCCTGCAATAACAATGAAAATACGTTATTGTAAAATTATTCGTTATGTTTTTAAAATTATTATAAATTGAAAATTATTCGTAAAATTTTTATATATTACAGTTAAAACAAAAGAGAGTAATTATTTTAAAACAATATGAATCTAATAATAATTAATTCATTTAGCACCGATTATACCATTGGAGTTGCATAAATTAGTGTATGAGGGTGGGGGGGGGGGGGGGGGGGGGGGGGTACACGACCGTATAAGTTATGTTAAAAATCAACGATCAGCGGATTAGACTTTCATAGAATTTTGCTAACTGAAATAAATTGAAGATAGTTTCATGGAAATAATAAGTGATGCAGGTAGGATACTCATAATCTAATGAAACTTGTATTATTAATAACAATTTAATATATTAATTTCTTTTACGAACGTTGAACTACGAATTTAATTATTTAAGAATTTAATTAAATTTATTAATCGTTAAAGTAATAATTTAAGTAAATAAACACAATATTTATAGGATAAAATTAATGAACAAGTTCAATCTATTTTTGAAAATCTATGAATTAAGTGAATTAAGAGAAGTTTTCCATTATTTTTGTAAAGTCAAAAGATAATATGTGTAATACTCAATATAAAAACAGATATTTTTTATTATGCTGATTTTTGTTATTTTCAACAATTAGCTTGATGGAAAAGTTTAATTTATAAAATATTTAATAACTATGTCATATATATCTTTAATAAATAATTATATAAAATTATAATTTAATAAAAAAAAAAAAAAACTTTGAATTTAAAAGCACATGTAAATATTTTAAATGATCGCTCCAAGTATTTTTATAAATGTATTCAGATATTCAATCCTAATGACTACAATAAATCTATTACAGCTACTTTTATTAATGAATAAATTAATATTATCATTTGGTTAATATTAGCATTAATTTATATTTTAAGACTCTTTAAGACAGTAATTTTAATATCTCACATCATATGCGTTACTTGCACTCAATAAATATTAACAATTTGCATTATAAGATAAGATTTCTTTACAAAATAAGAATCGCCATATAAAAAAGTGTTATTTATCGTGACATGCAGTATACTGAATTGAATGTATTTTATATATATTTTTAAATTTTATATTTTATTCTTACTAAAATACGAAAAATTGACTAATATTTTAAATATTACTGTATATGTGTATAAGCAGAAATTGGAAAAACTCTGGTATACGAAATAATAAAATATTTTTCTTATTCTTATTATACATCCTATATCAAGAAGTTGATACAAAATATAAATAAAATTAAACGTTATTTTATCAACCCTTAGCAATAAAAAGGTAAAATGTATTGATGTCATTCATAATTGGTTTATATACGGTTTATGTACATATTATTTTTTATCTTCCTTTCCTATGTCAAGGAAGACACGTTTTTAGTAACTTCGGAAGCGCTCGAGTTATTGATATTATCATTAATAATTTTATTATTAATATTATTATTGTACTTATTTTGTAATTATAATAAAAATTTGTCTCGACAATTTATCATATTTTTGTTGGTATTGGCAAAAATAAAAACAAAAAATAAAAAAAAATGAATAAGCATATGATGAATTATTTTCTTTAGAGAGTTACAAACTGTAAAAGAGTTAATAAAGTTAATTTTTACTAGTCAGTTATATATTTATGAAATACATATATACATCAAAATAAATAAAATGAAAATATATTTTGCTACATATTTTTCTACTTTATAGATTTTATATTTTTAACATAAAATGTAGATGCAACCTGACGTTTTGCTTTGTTTTTTTTTTTTTTTTAAATTTTTATTTTTTTAATTTTATATAATGTCAATGTATATTTGATACTAATTCGAATAATGATTTATTACATAATATATGTAATAATAATTCAAACGTAAGTAATATTCTTAAAAAAAAAAAAAAAAAAAAAAAAAACTTTTTTCTCTCTACGTACTCTTTTCTCTCTACGTATTTCACGTAAATAAAATTATTATACGAATTTCATATATAGCAATAAATCTATAATATTTTCAGAACAAATATGTAGATTTAAAATGGTATGAGAAATTGTTGTATACATTAATGTAAAGTGTGTAACTACATCATTTTGAGGTACTATCTGCAGTAGAAAAGCACGTCACAAATTTTTCACTTAACTTTGCATTATTAATTTCTTGATCACTTTGTTTTTTCTTCTAAAAGTAGGTATATAAATTATCGATATTTATTGGATTACCGATAATGTCTTATTTTTTTCTTTTCGATTATAATAATTTGTTCATTTAGCCCCATAAATTTGAAAGTATACTAAAATATTAGACATTGCATTAGTAAAATTATCGTATAAATAATTAAGCAGCCCGAAAGTCTTATAAAATTTATGTTTTAAAGTTTATTACTCACTAATATTATCATGAGTTCAGAAAACTTAAATAAATGACTTTGGTGCTGTTTAACTATTTAATTTGCTGAAAAATTTACATTCGATTTTTCTCATATATATATATATATATATATTAAGTTACTTTCCAAGCATATTATACTAATAATAGGGACAATTGATTATTTTACAATACATTAATAAAATCGAATAAACAATTAACAAATATTAAATACTAATACTATTTTCATTGGGAGTTCAAGACCATTTGCCGTCCACAAAGCCTTAATATATCCATAAAGCATAAGTAACTACAACATAATAAAAAAAAAGTATTATTATATAAAAATATTTGTACAGACTGTAAATATAGAATGGAATAAACTGAATTATATCACGGATGATGAACATTTTGTATTTTGTGCTTGAATGATATGAAAATTTATAACATGAAAATACCATTTAATTAATTTATAAATTTTATAAATAGGAGAATTTTCAAGCAATTATTTGATCTAATTTTATTGATTTCGCAATTATTTGATCTAATTTTATTGATTTCTATTACATATTCGGAATATTTGTTTTAAAAAATTCATAAAAAGTTGAAATCCATTATAGTGAAATCTATTACAGTTTACTCGTTATATTTGCATTTACCTTATTTAATTATCTAATTCATATTTAGATGAATAATAATGCTTGTTCTTTGAATTTAAGGTTCACTCCTTCATATATAAATTGTGACATGACAATATATGAAATATTGTATTATAGAAATAATGCAACTATTTAAATATTCAAACGTTTAATATATAATTATTTATTACTGAGATAAATGACTGTAAGTATTGGTAATAAATAGAACCATAAAAAAGAAAACTGGATTATAGTTTCATTGAAGGAAAATTTGGATTTTGATTTTCAATGAATAAATACATTAATAAATAATATCTAGTTTAATCTATAGTGGCTTTGATGTTAAAAAAAAAAAAAAAAGTATCATATCTGTTGTTGATAATTGGCATTTAGAAATACGAATAATGATAAGTCATTTGAGAATGATTATTAAAATTTTGTTCATCCGAAAACTTGACTGACGTATGATATTTTAGATTGTATTTAGAATTATATCTCTATTATATAAGCAATCAAATGAAATAACAATTATTGTGTTTACGTAGAGATAGATAGATTGAGAGATTGTTAGAGAGAGAGAGAGAGAGAGAGAGAGAGAGAGAGAGAGAAAGAAAGAGTTAGCTAGGGCGTGTGGAGGGTGGATGGTGGAGGGATAAGGAGAGACGTTACACGTATGCATTGACATTTGAAAATAGAAAGTGTTCGTTTTTCAATGCAATCGCACGTAAATAAAGCGTGTCCTTTATCATCCTAGTGGATGGGTAAGTAAGTTACTACGTGCCCTGAATACAAGGGAGTTACAGTATGCCCATTTCTCCAGAGTGTACGTCGGCTCTTCCTTAATCCGCACCGTGAAATTGATTAGGTCGTCGTAGCTGCTCGTTGATATGTCAGTGTTGTCGTTGCTCTTGATTGTTGACGGGCGGCGGCTCCGTAGTCGCGAGTCTCTCGACCGTAAGCTAAACGGGCCCACGTGGCTGGGGCCAGAACTGCGAGGCACCGGACAGTGCTCTCAAGCCAATTGTTACCAAAGATATGAGGAGGAGACACGCACCTCGCGAGTCCAACACCATCGAGGACGCCCCGCTGCACGTCTCCTTCGACGGGTCCAGCTTCGCTGCAATCACATACAAAACTCGAGCTTATTTAATACTCTCGGCTTATGGCACTATCCTCTCAATCCTATAACTAATAGCTAATTTTGCTTAACAAATGCGTAAAGTAATTCGCTTTAAAATTTAATCGACAAAGATAAATATGTTGAAAAGCGCAATCAATCGGTAAAAAATTCAGAGATCTTTCAAGGATATTAAAGACAATTATTACTAGCAAAAGGCAAATCCAATGATTTTAAGAATAAAATTCAAAAGAGATTTAGCCTGAAAAGAAACTGAAGGAATTTATATGTACAGAGATAAAATGAGATAGATAGATAGATAGATAGATAGATAGATAGATAGTAAGATAGAGAGAGAGAGAGAGAGAGAGAGAGAAGATGATGACAAGCAGGCAAATGCAGTATTCAACATGACAATCTTCAATGTTCGTTTAAATTTTATTTCTGCAGGAGCTTTGTCGATTCGAGAAATCGAATAAAAGTAACCAAATGAAAATGATGAAAAGTAAATAATATGTTATTTTATTTGCACATTATTATCTGCTTATTATTATGTGCAGTACAAAAGTACACTAAATAAATAAATTTTGTTTTTATCTTATTTTACGCAATAAAACTATATTATACTTATGTAATATTCAATTATATTTTATTAATTTTTCATATTATTATTTTTCACGTTTCTCAAATTCTTTGTGTTTCGTGCTTACCTTTTTCGTTCTATTTGCATATTTTCATATTATTTTTAAAGTTTTCATTGAAATATTTTCTTCATAAAGAACATTATTTGAAAAGCAACAATTTTATTTTACAAAATAACAAGATCTTAAACCAGAAGTTAATCTTTTAGTTGTGTGTGTTTTTTTTTTATTTTTTATTTTTATTTTTTTTTTTTTTTTTTTTTTTATTTATATTCTCAATTTCAGCAATAAGTTTTCAAACTAACTGAAATAAAGATTTTATTATATTATAAAAGTTTTTGTATTTAATTTACTTTCGTATCTTGTAAAACTAACCCTTGCAAGTATCTAATTTATTATAATTTTCTTGAAAAGCATAATATTTTAATATACTTATTTTGTAGAAACTTTGCCTGTTAATTGGCACGACATTTTTAATACTAAATTTTTTTTTTGAGTCATGAAATGTCAATGAAATTTTATTTGTATATGTATTATTTCCACTCTTTTTGAATAAATTTTAGATAAATTGAGTCGCCTTATATAATCATATTCATTATATATATTTATTATATAATTTGTTATGTAATTATTTAATAGATA